GCACCAGCCACATGCACCAAGGCTGGTGGGTTTGAGCCCGGCCAGGGCCAGCTAACCAACAATGACAACTGCAACAAAAAATAGCTGGGCATTGTGGCAGGCACCTGTAGTCCCAGCTACTTGGGAGGCTGAGGCAAGAGAATCACTCAAGCCCAAGAGTTTGAGGTTGCTGTGAGCTGTGACGGCACAGCATTCTACTGAGGGTGACACAGTGCAACTCTTGTCTCAAAAAAAAAAAAGAAAAGAAAAGAAAATTGATGGCAAGGGGAAAAAAGCCAGTGGTTTTCCTTGTTTAACAGAAAGTTCCCTCCAGCAATTCCCATTTTTCCTTAATTTCCTCTAATTTAGTCCAAGTGCCAGTTCTTTTGGGCCTTTCCCTTGATTTCCTGTCCTTATTAATATGAAAAGCAACTTAGGAAAAAGGGTACATATCCCAACATCCCCTTGAGTCCGAGCTGTCTCAGAGTACCTCTGGGTCCAGAGGGAGGCGTGTTCCTTTCTCTGGACTCAGAGGCAGCAGAAGCAAGGGGGCAGCAGGAGGGTCTGCTCTTCTGTAATACTGTGGGGCCTCTTGATTTCAAAGGGCAGCTTACGTATGTTCCTTAAGCTCTGCCTCCTCTTCGGACACAGAAAGTGGCTTTTCATCTACCCTTTCAGGAGAACATCACTCTCAGACGCTGAGCTTCACAAACGATCATTCTCACTCTCGTGTTTGCTTGTGTTGGGGTTTCCTATCTTTCTATTCTCTGCTGTCCCTTTATATTTCTGAGAAGTCTGCTTGGCTTTCTTTCCATGGTCTTTTAATCTCCATCATTTAACCTCCCTTCTGTGAAAGCTCACTTAGAGAAAATCACTGGGATTGGGTTGCAATACTCTCTAGTCTTCTTTTTATAGAGGGACAGCAAGGAGCCCTGTTTGCAGGTCTCAAGTGACAGCAGCTCTCTTCGCTTGTCCCTGAAAGGTAGAACTCAGGTGCATCGGACAGCTGAGTCTTTCACAAACAATTTGCTCCTTCATTTCTTATGCAAAATCTCCAGTGACTGTCCCCTAACATATTAAAAGTGAAAGCAACACATTCTTGAACTTGGCGTTCATAGCAAGGGCCCTGCCAACCAGTTTATGAAGAGATGAACTGAACAGACCTTGATTCTCATCTAGAATATATTGAATGTTTGCTTGTAGCGCACAGTATTTAAAGGGTGAGGATGGATGAATGCTTTTTAAAAAAGAAAAACTATGGTGCCTGTGGCTCAAAGGGGTAGGGCACCGGCCCCATATGCTGGAGGGGGCGGGTTCAAACCCAGCCCTGGCTAAAAACTGCAAAAAAAAAAAAAAAAGAAAGAAAGAAAGAAAGAAAACTATGCACAGGCTCTATGAGAGATTATTAAGTCTGTCTTTGATTTTTTTTTAATGGAGAATTTTATTACCTTTTTCTGGACAGTGAACTCTATTTAGAAAAATGATCTCTATTGTCAAATGTTCATAAATGCAACCAAACTGCATGTTTGCTGATAGGCTAGGATAATATATTAAAAGAATGAATAGGAAGGAGTAATAGCTGGATTTTATAAGACTATTCTAAATGATAATATTCTCTAGCAAAACCACACAACAACCTGTATTTTATGTCAATCTGCTGGACCAGGTCAATTTTAGAAAATAATTATTCTTAAATTTTCAAAACATGGACTACTGGGAGACTACGATGTACTCTGTACCCTCAAATTTATTTTTCAGAGATGCGGTATCATAAGACATTGTTGTTACTAATGTATCTTTGAGTTATGAAAAGCAAAGCAAAGCTTCACTGTCTAAACCAGACTTCAGCTTAAAACCTAATGGGAAAGCCATGTGGGGGGTAAAATTTGCTACAGTTTGACTAAGTCACTTCATGTTTCATGGGAAAAAAGGATCTTTGTACACTTCCTCAACCCATTAGTAGAAATAATGTTGACTTCAGTTTTTATGCCCTCCTGACCAGGACTTAGAGTTGGACTTCATAAGTTGCCCCTTATGGAATACATGGTAATAAAAATTGGTTGAGAATAGTACGCGGAGGGCATGCATGTTAGTTTAGGAAAACTCCCCCTTCCTACTTCCAGAGGACGAATTTATAAGCTTTACTCTTCCAAAAGGACACAGAAAGGATGATGCCTTCTCTTTCCTTCTGAGTTAATTTCCAATACCTGGCACAGGATTAATGGACCAAAGTCATTTCAACTGTAAACTGAGATAGCTGTGTCTATTCCTTATTTACCAATAGAGGTAAATAAGAAATATTCAGGGGGGTGGTAGAAAGCAGAGGGACATGTTACCCCACTCTAAATAGCCATGTTCCCTCTCCAAGGTTCATGTCTGCTGTGGGCTTTGTAAGCCCCTTTCCCAGGCAGGCAGGGGAGGCATCTCCAGGCCAGAAATCGCCTTGGGCTTTCAGGCAGCAGCTCCCCCATCACATATCGGGTGTCAGTCCCCTCCCTCTCACCCTGCATCCCCCATCTCTGTCCCACAGGGACAGCCATAGCAGCCTCATTCTGCAAACTTAACATCTTTCAGATAACCTTCCTGAAAAGGAAAGTTATTTGCAGGGATCCAAGCCAAACAACTGGTAGAAGAGAGCCATCTAAAGTTATTCATAACGAATTCAGGGAAATAAATGAAATTTTTCCTGGCACAGTCAGCATGTATGTTTCACAACAAGTCAAAAAATAATTTTCCATTTGGAAAAAAACACGCACAATGACCTTAATTGTTAAAGCATAACATCTTGGACTTTATATTCTCCTTCAGTAACAAATGTTACTGCTTTAGGGAAATCATAGAAAAAGACCCTTTCACTCCCCAGGGATCTCAGCATTCTTTAGTAGATTCTTTAAGCAAGTGCCCTTAGGAATTTCATGTGTGCCATGAGTTTGTTTTTATTTCATAGTGACTAGTCATATATTACAATAAGTCTGTTGTTCATTATTTATAACAGGTCCATTTAACAGTCACACTAGTATTCCAACAGTTATGGATATGATACTATGAAGTGCTTTTGATATGATTGTATATGCTTAATAACAAAGTTATTTTTCCTATATGGCTCTACTGTGTTCTGTCCTGACACTCATTCTGTGCACCGGGTCATCTTATTACCAAATGAATCCAAGGAGAGAAGAGGTACCTTTCCCTTAAGAGCTGGCTCTACGTCCTGGGACAGCCTCCTCTTGAGGACTGCGTGTGCTGAGCATTTGAGTCTAAGTCAAGGTCTGAAGACCCAGGTACCACTGAGTCTGGGTCTTGGGAGGCCTGATTCCCAGCTGAGACCCTCAGGGTGGGATTTCAACTAGAACTCTCTGGGATTCATTGGGAGTGCTTTAGGAGCTCACAAAGGAGAGGCCAGAGGATTCTGCCTGCTCCCCTCCCCGCCCCCACTGTACCAGAATGCCTCAGTCTTCAGTAGCTTTTCTGTTTTGGATTAGAATTCCACATGAGATTCCTTTGGGGATGCAGTGGTGCACACCTGTAGCCCCAGCTTCTCAGGAGACTGAGGTAGGAGGATCGTTTGAGGCCAGGAGTTCTAAGCCAGCCCGGGCAACACAATGAGACCCTGTTACTAAAAATATAAATACATTTTTTAATGTGTGCTTTCCCTAGAAGCTCCAGTGACCAATTTGCCTCTCCTTGAATAAAGTAGGTTTAAAAAAAAAAAAAGAAGAAGATTGCCCTTGGGGAGGCAGTGAGGGGAAACTGACTACCTTAGG